GCGCGGGCCAGGGTTCGCAGCAGGTGCCGCCCATCCACGGAGCCCAGCAGCAGAACATCTAGCTGGGGAGTCCCGTGCTCTGTATCAGCCTGCGAGTCTGGGTCCACAGGAGGACCTGGCAAAGTGACAGCAGGCTGGGGGTTGGTGGCCTGTAGGGCACCCCTGCAGCCGCTCCTAGCACGATGGACTACAACTCACAGCAGGACTTGCACTTCTGGCCTAGGTTCCAATGGGAGCTGTGCCTCTAAGTATTCTGGGACTCGTAGTCCTCAGAGAGGCCACATGAGCTGCCCCACTGGGGGGCGCCCCCCGCCGTTGGAGCCTCAGAGAACGTTAGCGCATCGTCTGCCAGGCTGTGATGGCAGCCGCTGTGACAGACGAGGTCCTGGGGTGGGGGACTCACTCTCAGCCTGTAGGTCCAACGCCGGCGACAGGCCCCACCAGGATACGGAGCCGAAACCCGTGCCCAAGCCTCCCGGTGTGGTCATCGCCCTGCGAGACAGACATCCAAGAAATCCGCAAACATCGTCTCTCAGTCGCCCACCATTCCCCTCACCGACCCTGACTTCTTGCCCATTTCCTCCAGGTGACACCTCCGCACACACCTTTATCCTTTCAGGTATCCCGGGACGCCCCCTCCTTCCCAGGAAGGTACTGCGCGGCGGTTCGCCGCCCCTCTGCAACTGCTGCCCGTAAGCCCCCGCTCTTTTCGACTTTCGGCGAATGGGAGCATACAGATTGGCAACGCCTCGAAGAACGGACCTATGAGAGTGAGCAAAACCCGCCCACTTTGAACTTTTGGCCAATGGGAGCGCCAAGTGATGACTTCCAGGCATGCCAGAGAGGAGGGCGTGTAGACGCGGTTGTCATGACGACGTTGGGGGGGGAGGGAATGGGGTGGAACGGAAGAAGCGGGGACAGAGCCTGTGGAGGTCCAAATTTCTGGGGTGAGAGTGGCCTGGGCTGATTCAAAATTAGACAGAACTGAACAGAATTTTGATTAATCCAAATTAAAGTGAGGTGGCCTAGACCTTAAACTATAGACCTCTGTGTCCCCTTCCCCCCTCACAGCCTAACTCTACCACACAGGGCTTCTCACCAGGTGAGAAACAACAAAGTTCTGGGGCCAGCCAGCATTGGCCCCTGGTTGTTAAATTTTCAGGAATTTTGAGACCTGGTTATTATACTCAGTCATTACTAAAAATTATTTTTTTGCTAAATTAATTACTAAAATTAAATTACAATTAAATACATTACATTAAAATAAAGGTATAACATACTCAAAACTCATACTTATTTTACTATTTTTACTATTATTGATGGTCTTATGGTTATTTACATCTATTGTATCTATATGAAGGAAATATTATTTTAATGTAATAGTGGTTTTTTGTGTTTGTTGTTTTTTTTAATTGGGGAATTGGAGGAGTGGAACAGTGTTGGGGAATTAGGGAGGAGGACCAGCCAAGTTGTTCTTCAATCTTTGTTGTGGAGTGAGCCAGTCGCCATCTGGCTGCCTGTCAGNCTGAGGCTCAGACTTTCAGGTATTGAGGGAGGAGGGGCCGATGCCTGGACTCCTGGGTCTGTGAGAGGAGGGGCTAGGGGCCTGGACCATAGGGTCTGAGGGAGGAGGGACTGGGAGAGGGAAGTCTGGAAGCCCCCCACCAGGCCCTCATACCCACAGGCCACGTAGAGAAGCTGGAACTGTCCCTTGTAGCAGGTCTTGTGATGGAGGGTCTGAGAAGAATGGAGGGGCAGGAAGTGGACAGTGAAGGACTCCGGGCCCCGGGCTGCTAGGAAAGACTGGCAGAATTAGGCAGACACACAAATCTTGGCCGCCTTGAAGCCCTTTCTCATCTTTTCTTTTAGGTGGATTCCTGGGAAATTTGGGGATGTTGCCTGGGTAGGCAGAGACTTTTTATACACCAGGCAACTGAGACTCAGGAGAGGAGGAAAGAGTGGGCCCTCATGGCCACACAGGGCATCCAAACAACTGGGATGGCCAGGTTGGGGATGCTTAGAAGGAAGCACGGCCAGATTTGGGGTGGCTTTTCTGCAAAGGTGAGCTGGGAGAGACCAGCTCCTTATTAAAATCCTCTTAGGCTTCCGCAGGAAGGCTTAGAATTCTACTACTACTGGAATTCAGAATGCTAAGCATGGTGTCGGGACTTAGAAAAGGGAGAGAAATACGAAGAGAAGAGAGAAAAAGAGACGGACTGTCAAAAAGGGGAGGTTACTGGTCCAAGCATTGGAAACTGTTATCTGTCCACACTGGTATTTGAAACACCTGGAGCCTGGAGCCCGGAACGGAGGATCCAGGTCCCACTCTCTCCAGGAGGAGGATGTATTCACTTCATCACCTGAGCTGCCTTCCATCTCAAGGGGAAGAACTGAGTCCGCCGCTTACCAGGCTCCCGGGTTCCATCCCTTTCGCGGAGCACCTCCATGGGGTACCCCTGGGAAGCTCTAGGGCGCCCCCAGGCTGTCAGCGCTCGGAACAGCTCCGTCACGTTATGCTGCGTGATCTCGCCCGCAGTCTGTGGGGGGGAATGAGCGTGGCCAGAAGCTGGGTTAGGGCCGCAGGGCGGGGCTTAGAGTATGCCACCCCTCCCACTTACCCACCCTCAGAGCTAGCTTCTAGGGGGCGAGATTGGATTCCCGGGGCAGTGTTTAGGAAGAAGAGAGGGGAGGGGCGTAGCCCGTGGAGACAGAGCCCATGATTTTGTGGAGGGGCCTATTAATATTGTAGAATACAGAGGGCGGAGCCTTGCGAACACCACCCTGGCTCCAGCACCCGGTGCCTCACACCTTGATCGGCTGCCCATTGCTGGTCCTCAGGAGGCTCTCATCGTCCGCTTCGATACCAAAAGCCACGAAGGGCCCCGTGGCGATGTCCCCCCAGTACCCTCGCGCTGCCACGCGCTCCCCGCGCTGGGAAAGCAGGGAGAGAGGCGGCGGATAAGGTCGATCCAAGCTCCTGGGTCCCCCCAAAAAAGGAGTGGGCCAGGGCAGGGAGTGGACACGCACATGACTCAGGAGGCGACCAGACGCCAGGGTCCTGTTGGGCACGTGGTAGGCGCTGGAGTCTCTGAGTTCAAAGGCGACGCCTGTGTCCCTCCAGCGCCGAAACTCGCGGATGTGGATGACTCGGGCCTGGGGATGGGGAAAGGGAAGAAAGGTCTCAATGAGTCCGGTAAATGGGCCAACAGCCCTTACTCTCCAAGACCTAGGAGTCTGGGCCCCCCTCCCCTCCTTCTTCACACTCAGGACTGGAGGGCCCCAGCCCCCTCACCCCGCGGTCATGCAGCTTCATGTGCAGGTCCCAGTCGCTGACACCGCGCCGGGCGTCGTAGCGGGAGCCCAGGTAGTGGCGCAGCCTCGAGTCCCAGAGGCGGCTCATGGGGAAGGCCTCCGGCCCCTTCTCCCCACTGGCCCAAAAGCGGAACACCGCCTCCAGGACGTCCCGTTCGCGGAACTGCGCAGCCAGCACGCGTGGGGAGAAAGTGACAGAGAGAGGGGGGCTGTAGGGAGAGCAGTCTCTCCTGCTTGACCCTCCCTTCCATCCTAGGGTGTGGGCACGATTCTCCAGTTTCTCAGATGAAGAGACTATGGCTCAAAAAGCAGAAGTCAACCCCTAGGCCACAGTGGGAGCCACTGAGCTGGAGTTCCAATTCACCAGCCCCCAGCCCGCTCCTTCAACACAAACCCTTTTGGACCACCCAGCTCCATTCTTCCCACAGCCACCCGAATCCCAGGCGGTGACGGACA